CGAGGTTGAAAAGTGTTCCACTTCTTACTACTAATATCCAGAATAAAATACTCTAAAATAATCATGTTGTGTATCTATACCAAGGGTTGGCAACAGGTGTCATGCTGGGGCATGAGCACAGCTTCCAGAGAGAGGGGAGCTTCATCCACAGTGCTGCCACTTTTTGCTCCCTGGCTGCAGTGTGGGCACAGCTTGAGCTGGGGCTTCAGGCTGTGCCAATGCTGCACCTGGGAGGCTGTGGGGGCAAAAGGGGGAGGAGTTGGGGAAAAGCAGCAGCAGCAGAGATGCAGCTTTCTGCTGCCTGGCCCCAGCTCAGCTCCCTACAAGCTGGAAGTTGCGCCAGTGGTGCAGCTGGGGAACAGAGAGACACGACAGTATTGTGGGCACAGCTCCCCTCTGGCTGGAATCTGTGCTTATACTCCAGCAGGAAAGCAGGGGGCTAGGAGAAGCAGTGGTGGCATGGGCATAGCTCCCAGATGCCTGGCCCTGGCACAGAGAAACCCACCTCATTGCTGATGCACCAGCAAAGCTACCCGGCCCATGCTGAACTGGAGCTGGGTTGGTTGTTCCAACCTGCAGTTTATAAAGGATGCCAGCCCCCATCTTATACCACTAAAGTATTTGGACTGCTGCACTTTGAAGGACAGGAAATACTGGACCAATCTTTTGGGTCACTGTTTTGAAGCTTTGCAGATTTGGGTTTGTAAATGATTCCAAATCTTGCCTCTGGGACATTTTGAGTTTGCTTACTTTGTCTTTTAAATGACTTACTTCACATATCCAGTTACTTTTTAAAAAATTAAGTGCAGGTACTCAGACTTACTAGAAGCTTTGGCACAACTGATTACAGCAGATAAAAAGCTAGTCTGTCATGTCAGTAAGTGTATACTAAGAGTTAGCAAGCAAGTAGAACTGGATGCTTGCACTTTTTGACCAATATCCTTGTAGTTCTCTTTGTTCACCTAAATCTCTGAAGATTTGTTTAGATGCTGAAACAAACAAAACTGGTCTGATCTCAAAACTGGATTAGCTAATACATGGTTCTGCTTTTGTATTATTTTTTTAAGGTGAATCTACTTCTGTCAATGTCTAAATAGTCCCAAGGTTGAGCTGTCGGGAGTAAGTTTCTGTTGTTACATCAGTGAAAGGGCTGTGAAGACACTTGCCTGAAATAAAGGATCCCTTTGTGCTGTCCAACCTGTATGAAAGGTCTCTATGCTGCTTAACACAGAGTTGTGGAAGAATTGAGAGCTATAGGTAACTTTTAAATATACCACATTTACCTTTTCTAAAGGTGAAAAATCTGGTCAAGATTCTTGTACAAGCTCAGTTACTGCCTCCATCTGCCAGTTGGGGATTCTGAGTTTAAATCCTTCCTTGCTTTCCTTTCATGGATATGATATATGTGCAGTGGATAAAGAGTATTTGCCTAAGACGCTGTGAAAACATTACCAGGAAACCAGACTTAAGAAACGTATAAATCAGCACATTTGAATGAAGACGTGGATGTTGCTGGAACTGGGTTTTAAGAGGCACACTTCAGGTTTTTTTTAAACCTCCTGAGAATCCTGTTAGGTATAACTCAGTTTGTGAAAATTTTGTATTACATTTCCCTGAAATTTCTGATTTTCCTGTAATATTTGATGCACTGTATTTTGAATGCCCTGTGTTAAAATCAGTGATTCCTGACCCCTGGACTCTGACCCTGGCTTGCTCTATGTGAAGAACTTTCCAAGAGTTCTTTCCATGTTATGAAATGGACACATGGGATTTACAATGAAAAACTGTGCAATAAGGTTTCTGATGTGTGTGAGGGAACTACCTGTGTTCTGAAGGCTTTATTGTAAAGTCAGGGTTTAGCATTGAGATTCTCAGGTACTTATGGTTTTAGGAAAGGGTTTTTATTTTTATTTTTTTCTTTTCTGATTGAGCAATGCGGCTATGTGGGTGAAGGGGAATACTTGGATGCTGTAGGCAATGCAAGGGGCTGCTGGTAGCAGAGCTGTGACTGTGTGGAACTTGGGTGGCACTGTTATAGATGAGTAAGCTTTAGAAAGGAGAAAGCACCATTGGATGAGGAAACTTTATCAAATCAACTTAGTAAATAGATCAGAAGAAAAGGTACCCACTGGGCAGCAAACTATGCCCATGTGTAATGTCTCACTGGTCAGTGTGCAGTGTGTGTATGTTGCATAACTAAGGCATGTTCCACTTCAAAAGGTTAAGTGCTTAAACACATGTCTGTAACCTGGAGGAAACATTAAAGGTGGATTTAAATGTTTTCAGTGACTAGGGACCTTACTGTGTAGATCCATGGAATGCAACACCGGGACTGAAATGGCAGATGTACGTATTTCTAAAACCAGTTCTCCAGCTTTCATGGTGTTTAATATAAATCTTTGACGTCTTAACACAAGAGTTATGCTATTACAGATGAACCAACTGGGTACTACATGGCAGGTTTTAAAGCCACAGTGAGTAGCACTGTGGCAGACCATTCTGAGGAAGAGAGAGACACGGTATTTACAAGACCTCATCTAACTCTTTGAAATTAACTAAAGGAAATAACAAGAAAGAGAACTTACCCTTTCCCTTCACCTATTCAAGAATACAGGCTGTAAAATAATGTCCAATGCTTTGTAATATATGTACAGTTGGTATTTTTTATAGTATTTTACAAAAAAACAGAAACAAACCTGCATGATTGCTTTGCAAAGTAATGATTGCTTGTACAGAAAGGGTGTGAAGAGGAAAATATGTATTACAGTAGTCACTGTTCTGAATCTTTTCACTTCTAAAATGACCACACAGCTTTGGGACAGCTGTTTAAGGTTACTTGAGCAATCAGTTTATACAGCCTGTTAGCTGAATGAAGATTTGTTTAAATGTGTACAGTTTCAGATATTTACATATACAAATAGTGTAAATAATTTCAAAAGATTAATTTAAAGTGCTTTATATTATCTGACTAGAATCTTGCTGTTTTTAATGTTTTTTTAATAAAAAAAAAAATTGCTTCCTATTTTGGTGCCTGAGTTAAGCTTTCTTATGTACCTTGAGGTTTGTTTAACATGATGACTTGTAATGAATGGAAAAATACTAAATATCCTTTAGGCATGCATACGACTTAATTAAGAAAAGACAAGTTACTTTTGTTAGGAGTAAGAGAATTGGCTTTATTTGGTACAGATAGATGTATACCTGAATACTGAGTGTGCAGCTAATTGTGTTTAAAGTAATCACTTTATAGTTGTAATAAAAGTAAATTTGTATTTTCTTTACTGATGATTTTGTGTGACTAAATGGTCTCTTCACTGCAGTTGTCTTGGGGAGAAGAAACTGAGGTTATAATAGAAGAAGATATTTTAACTTGTTTGTCTTTATTCAAGAGCAAACTTGGGAGCTGAAAGCAGAAAGCACAGCTATTATTCAGCCCCTATTTTATTTGATGGCTCTTCGTGTTGCCTAGCTACTCATGGGCTAATCTTCCCATACTTTTTCATTACAATGTATTGTGTGTCTAGTCTCCATTCCTGCTCACCTTCCAAAGGCTTGGATTTTGTTCCTTGGTCATTTGTACCTCCCATATAGCTTTCGGTTTTGAAGGTGGCATTTGAACAAACTGTTTGTATAAGATACCCTATTTTCCCTTATTAGTACAAATAGAATTTAGCTTGTTTTGTTCTGCCACTTAGTGCTGCTTCACAGCAATTGCTCTTTCCCTCGGGCGTTCTAGATTGCACCGAAAGGGCAGGATTCCAATCCCTGTGTGATGTATTCACTCATTTGGTTTTGCATGGAATAAGTGACACTCGGAAAGACTTATGGACACAGACTTACCTGTATCGCAGCAAGGCCTAGAGGCCTGAACAGAACATCAGCGTTCCACTGTACAAGGCATTGTATAAACTCAGAGACAGAGGTTTTAGTCAAAATGGATGAAACAGTGATGGTAGGAGAAGGAAACAAAGGAACTAACTGGTAAAGTGACTTTCCCAAGGTTACTGAGGATGGAACCATTGTTTAAGCCTCAGTCCAACATCTGTGTGTACCGTGTTTCTATTCCTGTTGCTGCCACATTATCAAAAATCAGAGGGGCCCATCTTGTGTCAGAGCCAAGAAGGATCAAATGCCAGGACCAATGTGGGGAGGTGGCAGTGTGACCAGTGTGATGTGTCATATTGGGGAGGGGGAAAAATTCTAAGCAGCTGGTATCAATTAATCAGTAATCCTCACAGGTTCTGAAAGAGAGCTTTTTATTAGATAAAGTGTATTCTAAGGTTGTATAATCTCACAGCCTCTTAGAGAAACATCCACAACCAAGCTGTGAAGTAAGGCTATCCAACTTCTGAGTCGGCAGGGGCTGCATGCTCTGTGGGCTACACTGAATGCTTCTCCTGATGCACCCTGCCATACTAGTGCCTCCCCTCCTGGCCTTCCCCCAGCTCCACCACATTTCATGGGCACCCCGGCCCTACCCTCAGCTCTGGCTGTTGACTTTTCCCCACTTCCCAGTCCCACCCCTAGCTTTCCAGACTGATAGTTCCTGCGGAATTGTGCTGCCCTCCCTGGGGTGTGGGCAGGAGGTGGAAGCCAGAGGAGGCAGGAGGAGGCTGGAGAGCAATGGAGGGAGTGGCAACCCTGAGGCTACAAATTAATCTCTTTTGTGGGCCAGTCATATCACCCTAGAATATGCTTCATTCAGTTCTGGGCATTTCACTGTAAGTGAATTTTAGCTTCCAGGAATTGCGTGCATTTGCTGGGCAAGGTTGCAAAATTCAAAGTGGCTCACAGCAGGTGTTGTTTAGCTTAGGCTGCCACCAAATTTGAGACCAGCTCTACTCTCCTTTCTCCCACTTTTAAGAACCACCTTCTCAGTTTATGGGGCTAGTGCACATTGACCTAACCAAGATCCATTGATTATTTGTTTCAAAATTGGAGGCTGTGCTCTTTGGTGCCATAATTACTCTACCTTGGCATACAGTCAGATGCAAACTGTTAAGAGCTTGAAAATGAGTTTTACTTTTACAATGAACTGACTGGCTGTCTTGACTGCTGAGCAGGCTCTGTGAAGCTTTGTGTCCACTACAAATCATTGATTTAGTGTCTCTGTTTCAACAGTGTTTGCAGGCAGGAAATGATGAGAGGCAAGGCCTTGAATGTTTTTCACCTGAGCACGGTGCCAGTCTTGCAATGCTTTCTGCATCTTGGCCAGGAGCTTCTTGATCTGGATGCTTTTGGAATGAAGGAAGAGCTCCAGCTGGTCTTCTGCTGGCTTAAAGTGGAGTGTGGCTGGGTCTTTTAGCTGCAAAAGACCAGTTCAGAGAGAAAGTAAAAAAAACGATTAATGCTCCAAACCAAAGAGCATGTGCCAAGCGTACTGGTGTGAGATACAAAGAAAACCTTCTTTGTACCCAGGTTAGGCACCACAAGGCTTATGAATTAGATATCTGGCCCAGGAGGGTGATTCAAAGAAACGGGGAGGTACCTGAGCTCCTAGTCTTATTCAATGGGATAAGACTGGGTTGGTGTTTTTGAAATCTGGATGCTGCGTGGGAGCTACCCGGAGCTAGTCAGTAGGCCTGTGTGAAGCAGCAAGTATTCACTTTTGGCTGATTTGGAGGAACAGCGATTTGATTTGGTGATTTGAATCAGTGTCCTGATTTGATATGGAGCTTTGGCCACCAAATCAGGCTGAATCGCCTTCGAATTGAATCGGCTACCAAAGCTTCGCATAGCACAAAAGGCTGAGCACTGAGGTGTCTTGGAGTGTGGGAGCCTGTCATTAGAAGGAAGATCCTGGTTTTCTCTGATTTAAAAAAAAAAAAAAAAAAATCAAAATTTTCTTATTTAACCCCCCCACTACAGTTTTCTGTGAAAAAGGTAGATTTGGGTTTTTGTTTTGTTTTTGCCCCCAACCCCACACCTGCTCACGTTAAACAGCAGTGGTAGCAGCGCTAGCTGGGCAGAAACTGTTACTTAGTGCAGGAGAAAAGTGGCTCTTCCCCCTCGCCACTCCCACCTGCTCCGTGCTGCAGCTGCCCAGAGCCTGCACTGGGCTGGCCTGTGGCTCTGCTGCCATCACCACTGCCTCTGGGCTGCCCTGTGGGGCAGTGGTGGCAGTGCACTGGAGCTGCAGAGCAGCACAGCACAGCACAAGCTGTGGATGTTTGATTTCTAGTATATAATGTGTTTTGTTTTTTTTTTTTT